TGGATAAGTAACGTGAGCTTTACAAAAAAGTACTTTAAAATAATATAAAAAATTCTTTATGAATTGTGTAACGGATCTACAAATGATGTGACGGTTCCCCCTGTTAGTTAAGCCTATTGGTATTCTATTGCCTACGGATTTTGGCGCAAAAGGAGGTCAACAGAATTATTTGATTATAAAATATTTAATAAATAGTAACTTAATATTGATTAAATAGTTTAATCGGTAAAAACTTTATTCAATCTGGTAATAATCGGATAACCCTATTGACCTCCTTTTGCGCCAAAATCCGTGGGTAATAGGGTTAACTTTGAAAGAAATCAGGCAACTCTATTGGCTCCTTATTGAATATCATTTTACTTGCAATATGCATAATTCACAAGTTATGGCCTTAGATTTACAAGAAATAACGTTCTAAAGTTCAAAAATCAATTATATAGTATGCATAGATCATTTAGTACTGCACTATGATAGATCATTTGATGTTTAATAGTTAAATAAAAAGCTTATTATTTTGTAACACTAATAATACTTTTTTTCCTCTCAGCCTTATATGGTACAGAATCCTTTTTAGAATGCTTGCGCAAATTCTCTTCTTTACGGCGTTGAGATTGTAACATAATACGTTTTGTGTCTTGGGCATTTTTAACAGCTTTTGGTATGTGTCGATGCCTTTAATGGAAAAGGAATTAGTAAAAAAGTATTAAAGCGCATTTACTGTAAGATTCAGAAAGAATACCTGGATATTCTTTTAATTTCTGGTAAATTTTTATAACGATCTTTGAGTTTTTCAGCATATTCCAAATATGCTCGTTCTCTGTAATCTTTCTGTAAAGTTTAGACAATAAATATATATAATTATATTCATTTGTGATTTTTACATATGTTGATATATACCGGGCCAATTTTTTCGGACGCATTTGCTTTCCAAAGTCGAATGTTCCCGTCATCCGAACCAGAAAGCACATATTTTGAGTCCATACTAAACTTCACACAGAAGATTCGTTGCATCCGCTTGGTATGGTAAATATCACGGCTATGTCCTTGCCGTGAATAAAAAAGACGAAGAGTTCTATCGTATGCACCTGTAACTATCTCTTCTCCTGTTGGTGAATAATCCAAGTCCAACCTGCGGTGAATGGCATAAGTTACGAGTAATAATTAAAAAAACAATATAATTATATC